GGTCTCACTGGGTCCTGCCAGGCGGGGGGAATCCCCACTGCCCCCCACTGCCCCGTGCTGTGTGGGGGGCTCTGTTATGAGCCCCCATAAGCCCCGAGGCCACTGCAGCAGCCGGTGAGAACGGGGTTTTGGGGGTTTCTTGTTTTAAAGGGCTGGGTGCTGGGGCAGATGAGGCAGCCATGGGGGAGGCTGAGGGAGTAGGTGGGTGTCAGGGGGTTTGTGGCAGAGCCCCCCATGGGGCAGTGGGGAGCAGCGGGGATCACCTCCTCACCTGGCAGCACCCAGTGAGTGGGGGATTTTTTTTTAAAGAGCCAGAAACTGGGGCACACAGGGACAGCCATGGTGGGGTTGGGGGAGCGGACAGGGGTTGAGGGGCACTCAGGGGGGCTGAGGGAGCAGCCAAGAGATGGGGCCTGGCAAGGGTCCCCCCATAGTCCCCTCCCCCCTCCTCCAGCTCCCCCTTCCCTGTCCCCTACGTACCAGCATGGAGTTCACGTCCAGCTCCCTGCTGCAGCCGGCAAGGACTACCCAAATTGCCAAAGCTCTCCAAATCTTTTCCGAATCAATTTGGAGAGTTTCAAATCAATTCGGACCTTTTAACTGGTCGCCTGATTCGATTCATATTCAAAGATTTGGCCGCCAAATTGGGCTGAATCTCCTTCAAATCGAATCAGGATCCAAAGCTTTGCACAGCCCTGGTTATCAACATGTTTGGGGGAATAAAGGGGTGGAACTGAGCACAGAAATGAGTGGAAGTTTCTTCAAGTCCATTGAGTGACCCAGGGGCAGTCAGGTCTCCTGAATCTCATGCCTGGGATTTATCAATGTAGCAAATTCAAAGCCTGCTCTGGAATCTGAAACTTGGACTGAACTAGCCCAAATGTAGCAATCTTCCAGACACTCTGCAGAAGCCACCTGTTGCATAGGGATATTGGACAGGACTGATGGAGTGCAGGGAAGGGATGGGAAAGGCTGTTCTAGAACAAGGCAAGGATGGAAAGGACTTTCTCTGCACATGGCTAGCTGCATTCCTGTTCCAATGCTGGCTTTAGTGCTGCGGCGATAGTACTGTGTTAGTAATTAGATGTTAGAGTGCCCAGACCCTTGGATAGATATCATTCTTCATTACTTTAAACATAAATAAATGAATACTTAACATTTCCTGGAGAGAAAAAACAAGTAAGAACATTCCAGCAGTAATGGTTAGAAAAAGAAAATGAACTGTTAGCAGAAATATTGGTGTTAACGATGTCCCCAAAGACCTTGT